CTTCCACGACATTGATTGTGGATCCAAGCAAAATGAAAATTTTGACAACTTCAACCTTTTCAATCATTTATCATACTATTTATTGGTCCATTTGTGAGAATTTTCATTTTCTTTACATTGAGGTACAATCCATACTGAAAGTGGATGGAATATCAATAAATATTTCAAGTCCTCAGAACTCAGGCAGTACGGAGGTTGCTAAGCTTTTCCACACTCCTAAGGGAGTGTGGTTGGTGACCTGCCATTTAGTATGTCTCCACAAACAGCTGTGTGAGGAGAAGTAGCCATAACCAACAAATGGCCTTACCAGACAATGAAGGCACATTCACTTGTGTCCCCCTAGATGACTGAAGCCAGGAATGTTTCAGAGACAGACCACATGCCCACTCCCCAGAGGTGAGAGAGAGTGAGGAAGAGTCAAAGAACAGATTTTATAGCCCACATCTTTGTTTCCCTCCATCTAGAAACCTGGTTGGGGATTTTAAGTTGAAATGAAATTAGAAATCTAAAGGGAAGGTATTTTAATAACTGAAGGAACCTTGACAGTTATGGAATCTGCTCAAGGTGCTATTAAGGAATCGGTGATGTGGAGGGAAAGGACACTTTATAATGGCACATATGGGGATTGTCATTGCTATGGGGGGAAAGATTTAATTTTTATATCCACTCTGTTGAGATGGCTCAAAAACAAAATACCCACTCTGAGAAGCTATTTATTTAGCATTTTTGGTCACACATACTGGAGTCAAGAAATTGGGCACATGTACTTTTGGATACATGTGTAACTAGCTAAATTAGCCAAATAATAATGGGAAGATGATTCAATTTTTTAAAAAATTAGCTTGAATAAAGTTTTAATATGTTTAGTTGTATGGTTTCAGTATGGCACTGTGGGTTAATGTGCTGGACGGAAAAGTTGGTTTGAACCACAAGGTTGGCAGTTCAAGCTCACCACCAGTCACTCCTCAAAAACCCTATACAGGGTCACTATGGATTGGAACCCATTCAATGGCACTTAACTACAACAAAAGTGATGATGTTTGTGGTTGTGTGTCATGAAGTTGCTTCTGACTCATAGCAGCCCTGTATAGGGTTTCCAAAGCTGTAAATCTTTACAGGAGCATAAAGTCTTATCTTTCTCCATAAGAGTGACTTGTGTATTTGAACTGCTGACTTGGTGGTTAGCAGCCCAACTCTCTTTTTTACTATTATTATTTTACTTTTTATTGTGAATTGAGTGAAGTTTTATAAACAAGATCATCAATTTTACATTCAACAAATCATACACTTTGTTTCATCTCAATGATTGCAATCCCTTCCGTGGAACGACAGTTATCCGGCTTCCTCCTTGTGGCTCCTATTTCCTTTTTCACCCACTTTCCCAACCCTTCTCACCATTGTCCTTAGGTACCTGTTGCCCCTTGGATCCTGAATGCTTGTCCATTCCATCATTCATAGTGAGTATATCTTACTAGTGTTCTTGTTCCCACTATGTACCTACCTACTGCTTGGCTAAAAGTTGTTCCCCCCATATACCTATCTACTACTTGGCTGAAAGAGGGTGTGCTCCTTTCCAGACCTGAAGGGTAGTCGAGGGTCGCAGTCACAGATTCCTCTTTCTGACCAGTAAGACTGGTCTATTTTTTTTTTAAATAATTTTGAGTTTTGTTCCACACATTCTGTCACTCTATTCAGGACCTTCTAACGTGATCCTGTTCAGAGCAGTTGGCAGTGGCAGCTGGCCACCATCTAGTTCTTCTGGTCTCAGGGTCATAGAGACTGACATTCACATGGTCCATTAATCTGTTGGATTAATTGATTCCAATTATCTTCAATTCTCATTATTCTTCTTTCTGCACATGGAGAGACCGATAGCTGCACCTTAGACAGATGCTCATGAGCTTTTAGTATCCCAAGCACTACTCACCAAAGCAGGATGGAGAACTTTGTCTTTTTGGACTATGTTGTACCAATTGACCATGGTGTCCCCTGAGTCTATGGCCTGAGCCTCCAAATCTACTCTTTGCCTTAAGATGTTTGATCATTTCTGAGAAGTTTTCATCATTTTAGCAGCCTAATCTTAACCCATTACACAACCAGGACTCCTTCTTCCCATGGTGGGAAATACTAAAGATGTGTATGGGATCAGAGGAAGGAGCTCTAGCAGTGTAGTGGTTACAAGTTGGGCTGCTAACCTCAAGGTCAGCAGTTCAAAACTACCAGCCATTCTGTGGGAGAAAGATGAGACTTTCTACTCTGAGATTCGCAGCCTTGGAAACTCTGTGCAGGGTCACTATGAGTCGGAACTGACTCCACGGCACACCACCACCACCACCACCATGGGGTCAGAGTCACCACCTGCCTTTCAGTTTGTTACCCTATGGTGGCTTGGGTACTGCTGTGATGTTTGAAACTGTGCCACCAGCATTTCAAACACCAGCAGATCACCTATAATGGATGTTTCTGAGGAGCTTCCATACAACGACAGACTAGGAAAAACCAGCTGGCAAGCATTTCTGAAAATCAGCCAGTGAAAACCCTACGGATGACAACAGAATAGTGTCCCCCTCCCCACCCCCCTCAGCTTGGCGGGCACTACACAATAGCTACAACAGTGGACTCCAGAATACCAGCAATCACGAAGGACTGGGCAAGATTTCTTCCTGTTGTACAAGGAGTCACCGTGGAAGGAGCTGATTCAGTGCTAACTAATAACAAACGCCATCAGAAAAGCTCAAGTTCGACATGTGCCTCTGACATTTAGCAACTGTGTGGCCTAGACATAGGACTTATTCTCTTATAGCTATTGTAAGAGGGGAGGTCATAATATTGCATAAAAGGATTGTAAGGATTCAACTTTGTAGAGTATGTCAAGTCAATGAATTTGATTTAGTGGTTGTCATTGTAGCCACTATTGTCAGATTGTAGTTGTTTTTGTTAATACCGTGGAGTTGGTTCCGATTCTTAGTGACCCTGCACAGGGTGTCTGAGGCTGTAAATCTTTACAGAAGTAGGTAGGCTCATCTTTCTCCCACGGAATGGCTGGTAGTTTCGAACTGTCGACGTTGAGGATAGCAGCCTGATTTGTAACCGCTACGCTACCAAAATTCCTTAAGAAATAATAAAAGTAGCTGCAAATGAGAAGGATAAGTAGAGTGTGTCACAGAGCAGAACTTCCAGTAACATCAAATATTTTTTCTTATGTGATTTCCAGCGTCAGCCACTCCTTGGAACCCATATACAAGGTGGTGATGAGTCAGAACCAACTCAATGGCACTTAACAAAAACAAACAACATGTGATTCCAGGAGGCCATCAAGAAGCAGTTATTAAATTATTTACCAAGGCCAAGGAAATATACTACTTTTTATGAGAATTATTAACGTATAAAAGTTATTTGTAAAGAAATGTGCTTCAATTATCTAGACCAGGGTGGGGAACCTTTGTTTTCTACAAATTACCAACTTAAAAACTAGACTGCTATATTTGGTCAAACATTTAAATAACTCACTCTGATGTGATGGCTGGGACTTCTCGTGTGGTGTAGGATCAGCATTGGATGGCTAACCATAAGTTCGATGGTTCGAACCCACCAGTTGCTCCTTGAAAACCCTATACAGGGTTGCTATGATTCAAAACCAACTCGATGGCACTTAACAACAACAATGTGATGACTGGAACTGCAGTTGCCTTGGCAAGGCCAACCAAATGATTATGTAGCCCTTATGTGGCCCAAGGGCCAGATGTTCCCCACCCTTGAGAACATTCACTTTGTTGTTGTTGATGTTAAGTGCCATCAAGTCAGTTCTGAGCCATACTGACCCTGTATAGGATTTTCGAAGAGGGGCTTGAAGAGTAATATATTCTCCAGTGATTCTGGATATGCAGACAAATGAGTTTACTTGCAAATTCAAAAGTGTGAAAGCTTATGAATAACCAAAAGATTTTCTATATATGAGTGAGGTATCAGAATACTAAAACTCCCAAATCTAAAACAGTTTACATGGAAATGGTGTCTCCTCCAAAATCCACAGCAAGTTACTAGGAGATTCTGCCATTGAAAGTTGCAGAGTCCCTTCAAAGCTAAATGATTGATGGAATGAGTCACTGCCTTCAATTATTCATTCAGAAGATTCTACTGTGTGCCCAAATGTACCAGGCACTAGGCTGAACACTTTAGATAAAAACCTGTGAGACCACGCTCTGTCTAATGGAGCACTGTAACCTTTTGAGAAGACAACAATCTGGAAGGATCCTCCCTCTTAAAGGATTGAGAGTGAGAAACTAGATGGAAAATGTTTCTAATCTATCCAGAAGAGTATACTCATGAAGCTAGCCAAAAAGGAGAGGAGGATACAGAGAGAGATGCAACTAGACACAATTATGACAGATAAGATGATTCAACAGTAGAAAGAGGCAACAGGAATTAACCCTCTCCTCCACCTCCCCAGTGAACAAAAAGCCAGCTAGGATATAAAGGAAGGGTATGCAGTGTTGAGTGACCTTGGTGCCTCAGACTGTATGAAAATGTGTTGACAAATTAAAAAAAAAAAATCAAAATATAACCAGAGGAAGATATCAGAAGTATCACAAAATGGAGCTCAACCAAATGGTCTGGAATCAAAATACCAGCGAAAAATACTGGATCTAAAAAAGTAAGTGCAACTGATAGAACAGCTGACATTTTGAGACTTCTAAAGAAGTGAAGTGTTTGGTGAATTGATTATTTTGTTTCATTTTAAACTTTAAGGAAGGATTCTATACCTGTACTCCTACTCCAAGGAGTCAAAACCATAAATGATGTTTTGGAGATATTATCTTTGTATTATCCTTTCTCAAGTTATAATCATGGTCACTGTGTTGTACAACATTCAAGAACAAGAACCAAACATCAGTCAAATGGAGACCATGAATGAAGACAAAGTCCTTTCCTTATCACAAGCCTGCAATGCAGCCCTAAATGAGAAGAGAGTACGTATGTTGGCAAGTGCATTACCCACAATGTTTGTACTAGATCAATGCCATTACTATACAACAGAAAGCCACTATATCACAGCTCCTCTATCTATAGAAGAAGCCTCATTCCCTTTAGCATATATAATGATCATTGGTCATGATTTCAATACATTTGAACGAATCTTTCGAACTATTTACATGCCTCAAAATGTCTATTGTATTCACCTAGATAAGAAGGCCACATTTAATTTTAAACTTGCCGTGGGAAAATTATTGGAATGCTTCCCAAATGCTTTTATAACTTCAAAGTCTGAGTATATTACCTATGGAGGGATATCCATACTCCGGGCTGAACTGATCTGTATGAAAGAACTAATAGCTTCAGATGTCCACTGGAAATACACCATTAACATTGGTGACCACAGTTTTCCCTTAAAAACCAATAAGGAGATAGTTCAGTATTTGAAAGCATTGAAGGGAAAAAACATTACCCCTCACTTACAGTCCATTCAGAAATCTACCGAAAGGGTCAAATATGTCCATACAGAACATAGAACCAGAACATACTCTTCAGTCCTAAAGAAACATAAAAAGAAGAGCCTACCTCCAAATCAACTTAAAATCTACTTCGGATCACCTTATGTTGCCCTAACAAGGCAATTTGTCCATTTTGTTCTATTTAATAAAATAGCCATTGAGTTATTACATTGGTCCCAAGATACCTACGGTCCAAATGAACACTACTGGATTACACTTAACAGTATTCCAGGTGAGTGTGGTAACCTTTCTTATTTTTTTGGTTAGTTTTGGGGTCCTGGAGTGGTGCTCTAGGATAAGCACTGGACTGCTAACTACAAAGTTGGTGGTTCAAACCCGCCAGCCGCTTCTCCGCATCCTTTACAGGATGGCTATGAGTAGGAACTGACTCAGCACATAACAACAATTTTTCATTTTTACTCAAAGCAATACACAATTATGGATTTAAAATATCATTAAAAGGAGTGTAGCGACGATTATGAAGGTGGCACAGGAACGAGCAGTGTTTTGTTCTATTGTGCATGAGGGTGCTATGAGTCGGCACCTACCAACAACAACAGATTGTGGTCCTGGACCATGTATCTCCCCAATTACCAAAGAGAAGTATCATCACATTTTTACTGTTTCTCCTTCCATATAAATAATATACTTACACTGTCATTTCATAACATATCTAATCTGAAGATTATCATAGATCTATATCCGACTCCTTGCACAGAACAACAAATATTTTATAACAATGGTGGAGAATTAGGTTTTCATGCTACACCCACATGTTTTCCTCTACTCATCTTTTTAGTACTATGATTTAAAATCAGTAGTCAATATTTACATTATTATACTGACAAGTTATTATTATTGTTCATAGCTGATGAGTACCCCATCCATTGTAATTACATTTCCTTTGTCCTAAACGTTTTGTGTTTTTATGAGATTAATAATTTCCTTCCTTTTTTAATTACTTATTTTTTATATATTCCTTTTTCAAAATGCATGAACTAATCTATCAAATAACTGTACTGATTTTTTTCAAATGTTCAACTCTATACCAGTTCCCTGCCAATCTAGACATTTTTCCCACTAGACTTATTATTGTACACTTCCACTTCTAGGAATTCTTTTTCCCTCACCTATGATGGGGACCCATGTTTTATAGAATCTGTGTTTTTCGTCTTTTAAATATATACCTTGAAATAAAATTTTTAATATGTTTAAGTATATGTTAAGTATAAATAAATGTTTTAATTCAAAATTTAAAATATATTTAAGTATATATTGTTGTTGTTATGTGCCGTGGAGTCGGTTCCGACTCATAGCAACCCTGTACAGGGTTTCCGAGGCTGCAAATCTTTACGGGAGCAGAAAGCCTCATATTTCTCCTGTGGAACAGCTGGTAGTTTTGAACCACTGACCTTGTGACTCGCAGTCCGATTTGTAACCACTATGCTACCAGAGCTCCTTGTAAATAAATATTTTTTAATATATTTAAGTATGACGTAATATAATTTCATACATTTTCTTCAAAATAATGAGAGTAAATGAAGAAGTGAAACCTGATTGACTCTTTGATAATTGTCAACAGGTCTTATGAGGATTGGTCATCACTCCATTATTTCTGTGTGTTTGAAATTTCCTGTAGTAAATTGATTTTAAAATTTTAATACCAGGTATTTTACTTGTTTATAATTATAGTTTTTCTGTTTATTTGTGAAGCCTTTTCACTTTTGTATGTATCCTTGAATTCAGCCATGTTATGAAATCCACTTTTTCATTAAAGTTTTCAAGTAGCTTTTCCATGTATGCAATCATATAAACTGAAAATAAATAATAAACCAACCTAGTTTCCAATTATGATGTTGATTTCTTTATCTTATCCAATTTCTTAGCAACAACCTATTTGTTATTTATATCTTTTTCTTTTTGTTTTGTTTTTTTAAGTTTTTGTTGTGAACTGAGTGAAAGTTTACAGAGCAGATCATCAGTTTTACATTCAACAAATCGTAAACCTTGTTTCATTACAATGATTATAATCCCCTCCATGTACCATCAATTAACAGTATTTCTCTCTATTCACTTTAGTTCTTTTTTTTTTTTTTTTCAAACACTCAGGCATATATAATAACTTATACCACCAAAGGGCACATTCTGCAAGTCTGCCTCCTGGCCACCAGCTCTCAGTCCCTCTTTTCCCATGAATCTAGAGTCCTCAGCTGCTCCCTGTCTCCATGTCCTCATCTCTGCCTCCATCTCTGGTGTGGCTGCTTCTGTGGATAAGGTCCCACATTCCGCGTGTGCTCTTCTCCCTTGATGGTCCTAGGGTCCTCCGTTAATTATATCTTGTTCCTGACTTTTTCTATAAGAAATGTTCTAGGTATTCCTTTGGTGATGGTATATTTGTTTGTTAAGGGGTGGAATCCCCTTTAGCATTCTTCTCTATTTTCCCATAGTAATGACTATTTCCATTTTCATCCCTTCTGGAATTGGTTTTTGATCCATTATATCTTCTTTGAAGGAGCCCTTGTGATGTAGTAAGTTATGCAAGGGGCTGCTAACCTCAACTCCTCCAGGCCCTCTGTAGGGGAAAAATGAGGCTCTTGGTTCCCATAAATTTTGATAGCCTAGGAAACCCCATAGAGGTCACTAGAATTGGAACCAACACAATGGCACACAGCCAGACATATCTTCTCAGAAAAATAGCAGTTCCATCAAGATTTTCTAATTCATTTGCCGTGAGTTGCACAAAGGTGTCTCTTATGAGTCTTTGAGGGAAGTTCCCATGGCTATTAGCTGCTTGTCAAGTCTTCCTTTTGTACCCATGCTCTAATTCTTTCCTTTTTCAGTTAACTAAAAAAAATTAAGCAAATTCTTTTATTGTTTGATAAATTTGAACAGACAGTTCCTGAATTTACTTATTGATTCTGTCATTTTTCTCTTTTCTACTTCATTAATTTCAAGTTATTATTATTTCTTCAATTTTGTTCTGAAGTTTTTTGGTGTTCTTTTTCAACTTTTTGAGCTAGCTGTATATCTCATTTATTTTTATTCTTTTCTGTTTACAGTATTGTTTAAAGCTATTATTTTCCTAGGGTTACTGGTTTGTGGTTTTGTTAGGTACTGTCAAGTGACCCTATGCACAACATAATGAAACACTGCCTGGTCATGCACCATCCTCACAGTTGGTGTTAGATTTGAGTACTTTTCTGCTGCCACTATGCCAATCCCTCTTGTTGGGGGTCTTCCTCTTTTTAATTAACCCTCTACTTTACCAAGTATGATAACCTTCTCTAGGGGATTGGTCCCTCCTGATAACATGTCTGAAGTATGAGAGACGAGTCTCACAATCCTAACATCTAAGGAATATTCTGGCTGCACTTCTTCCAACATAGATTGGTTTGTTCTTCTGACAGTCCGTGGCACTTTCAATATTCTTCTCTAACACCATAACTCAAATGCATCAATTCTTCTACAGTCTTCGTTATTCATTGTCCAACTTTCACATGCATATGAGGTTATTGAAAATACCTGACTTGACAAGAGTGTCTTAGTCCTCAAACTGACAACTTTGCTCTTGAAAACTTTAAAGAGGTTTTGAGCAGCAGATTTGCCTAATGCAATAAACACGTCATTTGATTTCTTGACTGCTGCTTCCATGAGTGTTAATAGTGGATCCAAGCATATTGAAGTCTTCGACAATTTCAATCTTTTCTTCATTTATCATAATATTATTTATTGGTCCAGTTGTGAGGATTTTCATTGTCTTTATATTGAGGTGTAATGCATACTAAAGGCTGTGATTTTTTTTTTTAATCATCAGTAAGTTTTTGAGTTGGTTTTTTTTCAACTCTTTATTGTGAAGAGAATGAAAGTCTACAGAGCAGATCATCAGTTTTACATTCAACAAATCATATACTTTGCTTCATTACATAGTTGTAATCCCCTGCATGTACCAAGAGCTAACAGTATTTACTTATATTCACTTTAACTATTATATCTTCCCATACCTTTGTCTGTCCTCTGTTCAGTTCCCTCTAGCCCATGACTAATTTTCCATCCTTGCTCCACCCCCTCATAACCATCATAGATTTTTTTCTTTTATTAAAAAAACAAACAAAACTTTTTACAACATAGGTCTCATACAATTTTTTGTCCTTTTATGGTTTACTAATTTATTCAGTATAATGGAGCTCTGGTAGCGTAGTGGTTACGAATCGGACTGCGAACCTTAAGGTCAGCGGTTCGAAACTACCAGCCGCTCCGCGGGAGAAAGATGAGGCTTTCTACTCCCGTAAGGATTTACACCCTCGGAAACCCTGTACAGGGTCGCTATGGGTCGGAACCGACTCGACGGCACTTAACAACAATGTCTTCATGGTTCAACTATGTTGTGAGGTATTTCTCAGATTCATTATTATTATTTAATTTTTTTAGCATTCTGTTATGTGTATATACCAAAGTTTGTTCAGCCATTTTTCTGTTGATGGGCATTTAGGCTGTCTCTATCTTTTTGATGTCTCTTGTAGACAGTATATCGAAGGATCCTGTTTTCTTATCCATTCTGCTCTTTGTGTCTCTTGACTGGTACATTTAATCCATTTACATTCAGTGTAATTATCAATAGGTGTGAATTGATTGCTGTCATTTTTCTGTGTGTGTGGTGCTGCTGGATTCTTTGTTCCACTTAAGTTTCTGCGCTGAGTTCATTTTGTTTGTGGATTTTCTTTTTCATTTTCATTTCTGTTGTGTTATATTTACTAAACCTTTCTGATTTTCCTCTTTTATTATTTTTACTTTTTGTGGATGCTAGCACATAAAAGACATCAACTTCTGGGTCAGAGACAAAGGGCAGACTATTACTCACAGCGTACTGATCTCCAGAGTGTCAATATTTTCCTGTTTCAGTTCTCCAAGCCTCAGTTCCCACAGGGCAATGCAGTGAGGGTCAGCTGATACCTGCACATCCAGTGGATTGCATTACATGAGAAGAATCCGGAACCTCGGAACTCAAACCTTTTATCAGAGCTCTAAGCAAATCTGTCTTGTGCCCCAGGAGACAGTTTATCATATAGTGGGCAATAATCAGATTTGACCCTTGCTTCAAAGGTTGTCAGCTACACAAATATCTTTAAAAATAGGTTAAAACAAAAGTTGTCATACCTCTGCTCACAAGACATAGAATTGCCTCCAAACTATAACATTTATATCGAGCCATCATTGCCACATTTCTTTTAGTTT